CTAGAAGAAGTGGGTAGATTGGCACATACAGGGGCAGACTGAGAACAGGCCAATGAATAAGAGACTGTTCAGTAATTCACTTCGATTCGGAAATGATGAGGGATTATATTTAGGTGATATTGTTGGAGAGAGAGAGAGAAGGGGACTGATTTGGGAGACAAAAAAGAGTTGAATTGTGTCCTCTGAAAAAAATCTTACATTGAAGTCCTCACCCCCAGTACCACAGAATGTGACAATATTTGGAAATAGGGTCTTTGAAGAGGTGATGAAGTTAAAGGTCATTAGGGTGGACTTTAATCCTATATGGCTGCTGTGCTTATAAGATTTGGAAGCAGAGACATACAGAAGAAAGACCTTGCGACGACACAGGAGAAAGATGGCCACCTGCAAGCCAAGGAGAGTGGCCCCGGATGAAACCATCCCTGCTGATACCGTGACCTTGGACTTGCAGCCTCCAGACTTGTGAGAAAATAAATTTCCCTTGTTTAAGCCCCCAGTCGGTGACACTCTGTTACGGGAACGGGAGAAACTAAGACGGGAGGAAGGAGCAGAAGGCTGGGGAACGAGGATGTAGGGGACGAGGGGGAGAGAGGACAGAGGGGACGTTCAGTGTCCGACTTGGGCGATCTCGCGTGCTGCGCGGCCACTTTCCGAGCTACGACCCAGGGGAAGCAGGGGTGCATTCCAGCTTGCACGTGTTCAGTTTCGGTCCTGGCAGGACAGCAAGTGAAGATGTCCACCGAGCAGCTTGACTGCGGTCTTCGGACCGGGGGCCACTGCGGCAGAGGCGGGCACAAGGCCGGCGGGGCGGGGCGGGGCGTGCGTGCTGCGAGAAGGCAGCGCCGGAATCGCAGAGATCCCCGTCACTCACGAGAGGGGGAGGGCCCGAGGGGGAGCACCCGAGGGGGAGCACGGCCTGGCACAGCGCACGGCAGAAGGCATTTGGCGTTTTTCAGAGATGAAAGTGTAAAGAAAGGCTGTCAAATCCTGGAGAGATGGGTGTCTCAAAGTCTCTCTCTCCCCCTTACTCGCTCACCACACCCACACACCCACACACACACACTCTGCACGCCCGTGTACACACACACGCATGCGCACACACGTTTCTGTGTTTCTACCATTCCGCGGCACTGGTCTGCTGCTTTGTAATGATTTTTCCATGATTTCCACGTGCACTGCTCTTTGGGTTTCGGGGGCAGAACCAGAGCAATGTCTCTGCCTCTCGAGTCAGCAGGACGCTTCAGCTCTCTGCCCTGCCTGATGGAGCTGGCCTTCGTGGCGGGGGAGCTTTTCCTCCTGACAGAAGTTGGCCATGTTGGGCGGGGGCAGGAGGGATGTGTCTCAGTGAGATGCCTTGTTTTCCCCTCTCGGGCCCTCTTTCGCTCATCCCATGATGACAATGGGTGACCAGAGGAGAGACACCCACTGACACTGCTCTGGGGTGTCTGAGGTGGCTGCTCTTTCTAAGGCTCCTTGAGGAGCTGGGCAGAGACCCTGTGCCTATGGGGTGGGGTCAAGACGTACAGGAATGATCAAAGTCGCTGCCCTCGCTTCCCAGCCAGCCCAGCCCGAGAAGGGTCCAGGCAGCACGGGCATTTTGCAGGTTTCAGCCGTCACCCATTTACTTACTCTGGAGAAAGGGAAGACGCACGGGCCCCCTCATCTACTCCCACCCCAACGCAGGAAGAGACGCGGTGAAGAAAGGTACGATGCCGTGAAGAAAGCCGCCAGGGAGCCCTGGATTCAGAACCGGCTCCGGCTGACGCTGAAGATCCTGCCCTCTCTTGTGCCGGCTTCTCCCAAGGCCCGGGCCGCCCCTTCCCGGCTGTCCTCCACGCTCCCCCAGCCGCCGGGCACCAAGTCTCAGCCGCGCTGCTGCAGCCTGGGCACCTTACCCCATGTGAGTCCCCAGGCCGGCCCGTCGCCTGTGAGCCAGCGGTGTCTACGACCAGGGTCCCCCCACTCCGGGCCGCAGAAGGAACCAGGACACAAAGCCACGAGCACGAGCTTTACGCCGTAAGAAGGTCCTGTCTGGCTAGGAATCTGAGTGCGGGACGAAACGTCCAGTCAGCTCTCCCAAGCCGCTCGCCCGCAGCAATAGCTCTACATTCTGTGCATTGAGGTCTTTGGCGTCTCAGCAGCGGTGAACTGGGCAGACTGGGCCCTGTCACCCTGTCACTGAGATGAAGCCGGCAGGGATGAGCCCACCCAGCCACGCAGTCCCAGTGCCCCAGGCGAGCTCGGTCTTGGGTGACACACTCAGCACGGCTGTCGCTGACTCGCGGCCTTTCTGAGGGCCATCAGCTTGGATCCCCTCCACGACAGACCGCAGCCCCTGTCTGAGCATCGGCAGCCAGCAGGCACGGGGGCGCCCAGCCTCCCCGCTTCCCCGCC